CACTCTCTGTAGAATTCTGGAACACCGCTACGAGTTCCAACAGCCTACAACTGCATGTTTCATTGACTTCCGCGCTGCATTTGACTCTGTCGATAGAGAATCCTTGCGGTGCATATTGCGGTCCGATGGGATGCCTGAGAAGTTCATTAGGCTTATAAAGTCATACTAATCAGGAACCCGGGCACGCGTCCACATCTATGGAGAAGAATCTGCTGAGTTCACCCTAAGATCTAGAGTTAGGCAAGGTTTTCCCCTATCGCCGGTGTTATTCACTTACACCGTAGATTGGATAATACGACAAGCACTCATCGACCACCCTGGAGTGCAGATTGGCCCAGGTACATGGATTGCGGACCTCGAGTTTGTGAATGATGTCGTTGTACTTAGAGACAGCATGGATAACCTCCAGCCTATTGTCAGTCGTATAAATCTGTTTGCCCAGTCCATCAATACGTCAAGAACGAAGACGTTTTCGACCGAAAGTTCTACCATGACAAAACCCTTCTTGATTAACGGGGAGGCTGCTGAATCAACCAAAGTTTTCAAGTATCTTGGCTCTACGATAAGACCAAACGGCCAGGCTAAGGATGAAATCCAACTTCGTGTAGCTGGAGCTAGAAAAGCCTTCCTACAACTCCTCAAACCGTTGTGGAATCGATGTGAAATAAGCTTACACACTAAGCTTCGGGTTTATCAGGCTTCTATCCGCCCCATTCTCACTTGTGGTTGTGAAACCTGGCCGCTAAGAGTAAAACATACAAGCAAGCTCGAAGTCTTTGACCATTGGTGCTTACGCCGCATCTTGAAAACGAGTTGACGTAGTCGACTGGTTTTCTTCGCTGATAAGTCTATCTTCAGAGGTCGTGGTAGTGCTGAGCCAGACCATCTTAAAGGAAGCGTATCGAATTCCGGCTAAGCATTCTACCGCGTAACCCGCTTTCACTGCCACTGACAGGGATTGTGCATACAGACACGTAGGATGAACATCAGAAGGCAGTGCTTCTCAATGTACACATTATTTACTCCTTATGACAGGTGACGAAGTGTTGAACCAAACAAGGCACCATCAGGTCAGATATGAAGCCAAATCAGGCATCACATCTGCATGATGCTGACTCATTCTATTCCCTTGCGCAAAATGGACGATCTTCGGTGGCAACGGATAAAACGGACAAAATAGCGAAACGTTGGAAATCAGAAGATAATTGTGAATTCGGAAATGGGCGAAACAAAATAAATGCTTTTCCTTTCAGGCCCGAAGCGTGGATTTTATGATCTTATGAGCACTGCGAAAGGGTTTTACACACACCAAACCAAAAGATTCATGGTTCAAGTCTCGCCAGGTATATAAGCACTGCCAAGGACTGCCAAGGACGAAACATTGATCCAATACAATGAATCGCATCAAGCGTAAAGTATGTGCTCCCGGCATTTTTTGAAAAATTACACACTGTTGTGTGATGAACAACAGACGGACTAGGACTCCACAGTCACGAAGACCTACTGTTACATCATGGAAACCGTTACCCTATGACCCGGAACCTAGAATGACGAACCATATAAAGCTGCACTAGTATAGGCGTGGTATTGGGTCGGTCAGTAGTGAATGTGCCTATCATCAAAGCTCATTGGTGACGGCGGCCGAGGTAGGGTTCGAACATCGAACCTTGGCCCCAAGTGCGTCAGTGCCAGTGACCTAAACCGTGGGACCACCATCACCACCCCACTCCTGGAGGAGATCAGGAGTTCGGATTGGTGTGTTCTATGAAAAAGAATAAAGTTTAAAACCCGACTGACTATTCCGAACCAAAAGTGAACTAGGGTGGATGAACGAATCACACAGAATCACAACAGACAACACCATGTGAGATTGTTCATCATTCTTCAACAGCATCGCGCGATGGATTCACACACATTTAACCGCCTACTACCTACAGCTATTCAGCTTAGCTTTCCTTTGTAAAATCAAAAAGATTCGAAAATCAGCATACGGATTTCGGTACTTTCATTGTGCGCTTCACATCCGACAATGTACGATCCAATCACAGAAAAAAAGTAGACTCACGAAATTCAACCGCAACCCGAGCGGATTGGAATTGAACAAATCGACCCAGTGATGCACTTGGGCTCGTCGAAGTGAATCCACCGAATCCAAATCCAACGCGGACAGACTGGGACCGCTCAGTTTCATTCCGGTCACATCACGCACACTCAACCGCATCCAGGCCAGATATTCCGAATCCAGTGTACTGAACGCGTATGTGTTCTCATCGGCAGCCATACTGCTGGACAGTACGCCGGTGCTGTCCGAGTCCAACTCCTCCACTTTTGTATAGTCCGGTGAAATGGCCGGGGACGAGGTGAACGGATCCGAACCGAATGTGTCCATATCAGTGAACAGAGCCAACGGGGGACCGGATTGAGGTGTACCGGAGGCAGGTGTGAGACGGTCTACCGGACAAACTGGCTCCGATTGTACAATACGCGTAGATACCGGATGCCCGGAAATCGGTTCCGGAGAATATTTTCCGACAGGTCGGGGAAACACGCCTTCATAGATCCGGTTCTCTTGAAGGCTGGATCCGTCCGCGACATCCGAATCCATGAACATGCTTGGGGGACAGACAGCAGCATTATTCATCACGGCATCACCTACACCTTGCATGGGTGTGTCACTATTCACATTCCACGGAGACGGTGGGGGTAAGACAAGCGATTCGGAATTTAGCGAGGATCGTGCACTTCGGGAACGACCATCATCGGAAGAGCGGGTTGATGGAGCAGCTGGTGGTGGGGGCACAGATGCATCGGTACCAGTCATATTATTGACCGGTTGAGGATCACGGTCGGTCGACCGCGCGCACGAAAGTGTGGCCGTTGATGAGTCTTCTGAATTGGATGCGGTACACATAGATTGTACGTCACCTTCCGGAAGTGCTTGGACCTCATTTTGACTGGGCGTATGAGAATTCGATAACGGAGGCGAGAATGTCGGTTGTGGTCGCTGGACAACCGGAGTTACATTTACCGGCCGGACGGTGTCAAAACCCGAGGAAAAATTACTTGTACTAGTACTACCAGAGGTAGAATCCGGTGGCACACCGACCGTATCTACCAGAACTGGATGATAGCGATGTGCCGGTAATGGTGCCTCCGGTGGATTACGCGGACCGGTAGCAAGGACCGCCACAGGCTGGCCGTTGATTGGTCGGTTGAATTCCGAACCTGTAAAATTGTTGCGTTTCGCTGCCGCACTGTTCAATGCACGAATGATAGCTGATGGTCGTGGAGGAAGCTGAGGTGAGGGGGGCTCGGAACATGTGCCCAGGGCAATATTGACCGGTCCGTTGCCAGTTGGAGTGACTACGTCTTCTCCGTCGGGTTTGGAACGGGTCATGGAGGGCTTTTTGAAAAAGCGAGAAGAAAATACAGCGACATTTAAATCGATGAACGAATCACAAGTCAGCAACTGATGTATCCAGCGACAAGAAAAAATTAAATAAAACGGACCAATTTGTCTGGACTATAATTCAGACAACGAAGGGACTAGAAATATGCAAGTTGGTGCATCCTACTCTGGATTGCAAATAACGTCTAGAAAAGCAACTGAGAGCCTGACTGACCACACATGAAGTGGCTGGTGTTGAGCACAACCATGATTGATTAGGATAAACGAGCGGAGAGGGGGGGAGACTGATGAGCTATATGCACAGCATGTCACCTCAAAAGCCCGAGTTTTGTGTGTAATTCAAGTGATCTTCAAGGATAGATCACAAAAAAAAGATGGACAAATGAAATAACTGCTTGGAATAGACAATGCACACGGAACGGATACAGGCAGAAAAGCTCGCGGGCGGGGGGGGGCTCAGACTTACCGAATCTATACTGACTGGCCATCGGAAAACTCGAGAATGAGCTGAAGAAATGGAAGCGAAATGGTGAAAAAGAAACATGATAGAATATCGGGCATCATTTTGAAAAGAAAAAAATACATAAAAATACATTTGCATGCATCGGCATTCTATATCAACTAGTCCCACCTACAAGCGAGAGCGAGAGATTGCAAAAGAAATAACAGTCACAGGAACGTATGCCGGTAGTGGTCCGTCAATCAGCGGCGCCAAATGTTTGCTGGCACACCAAGACAGAACTCGGGGAGTTCGGCGACGGAAACAAAGGCCGCGATCATAATGATGGGGAAGGGGGCGTTATGTTTATAGTGTAAGGACTTTGACAATGGTTTATCTGTTCCGAATGTCACATACCCGGAGGGCAGTCGTGTACGTCAGTTGGACAGAAACTGGAGAGACAGCTGCCACCACGAGCACTGGGACAGAGAGAAAGAGAGAGCGCGTGCGCGGATCACCGTCATGGATTAGTGGCAGGTAGGAGAAATGTGACCATCACAACCAGCCCAGACAT